ATTTGTCCTGAGTTGGCACTCTCAGTTGGGTTCCGCCAGAACCGCATTGTCACAACTGGGGCCTGAACCACTGCCAGCGACCTCTCCCGCCTTGGAGGGGAGGCGGGTGCCATAAGTGCCAGAAGGCCCAATGCAGCCTCAAACGCCTCCGGCGTGGAGGGGAGCTGCAGGTCTTGTTGGTGGGAGGCCAGTGAGCAATGAGGGTCCGGACTCGACTGGACTCCCGCTGGGGCAGGAGTTGACATGACCTGTGGTAATTGGGCACTGGATGGAGGGTTACCGACCACCTGGTCCTTACACCTGGTTGGGGAATGGCCTCTGTCTGACCTCTTCTTTTTGTGTGGCACTGGGGTTTGAGACCGTGGGTCTCTAGAGGAGTCCTTCCTCGGCACCGGCTCACGCATCGAGAATGCCGGCGCACTGTGCACCAAGGAAGCGGTGCTTGGGGCTGGCTCCCCTGCGCTAGTTTCTGACTGAGGCCGAAGCGCTGCCTCCATGAGCAAAATCCGGAGGCGCTGAACTCGGTCCTTCAGGGTCCTAGGGCAGAACCCTCTGCAGATCTTACAACACTCTCTAAGGTGATCCTCACTGAGACACTTCAAGCACGAAGTGTGCGGGTCACTTCTGGGCATAGTCCTGCCACAGTCTGTACATGCCTTAAATCCCAGGGACAGAGGCATGCCCCAGTACCGGGGGAATGTTGGGGGGGGGGGGAAGCCCCCCAAACAAAACTTATGAAGCTATTTACACTAACTATACAAATAAGAACTATTCTACAGACGCTACCCGAGTTATGCAAGACCCGACTTATGCAAAATCGCACTTACAGAGAAAGTTCCATAAGCCAGAAATAGGATTTTCGAGTTGTGGAAATTTTTGTGTAACATACGGGTATACGTTTCCAACTTACGCAAAATTCGAGTTACGCGAGGCTTTCTGGAACGGAACAATTGCATAAGTCGGGGGGCGTCTGTACTACTATATACACTAAAAAGAACACTTCGAAGAACATGCGCTTGACGAGGCAAGAGCAACGGGGAGCTCCAGCTAGCCATCACAGGCGGTAGAGAAGGAACTGAGGGGGTGGCGGGTCGGCAGGATCCTATATTGAGCGCCATGAAGGCGCGACTCCAGGGGCGCCCATGCCGACCCTATGGATACTGCTGGGGAAAATCTTCCGGCTGTCGTGCATGTGGCGCACGCACACCTGATTGGAATTGCCATGAACAAGCACTCAAAGAAGAACCCTATGTTCTGTTCTCAACTCTGCCACTGACACTGTGTGAGATGGGCAAGTCATTTCATGGATCACTGCCTCAGTTTCCCCATCTGTAAAAAGGTTTTATATGCATAATATAGGAATGTTCTGAGTTTTGCTCAATTAATGTATGTTAAGTATTTTGAGATCTTTAGATGAAAGGTGAAATGAGTGAAAAATACTTATTCTGTAAGCTTCCCAGAACAAGGACCATTTCTTTCTTTCTATATGTATCATATACAGAACCAAGCTTACTGTTGATGCTTAACAAATAACTGAGATAAAAGTAAAAAAAATTGTAAGAGCATAACCTTTATTCACAATGGTCTCCTCAACTGTTCATAGAATCATAGAATATCAGGGTTGGAAGGGACCTCAGGAGGTCATCTAGTCCAACCCCCTGCTCAAAGCAGGACCAATTCCCAACAAAATCATCCCAGCCAGGGCTTTGTCAAGCCAGGCCTTAAAAACCTCCAAGGAAGGAGATTCCACCACCTCCCTAGGTAACGCATTCCAGTGCTTCACCACCCTCCTAGTGAAATAGTGTTTCCTAGTGAAATAGCGTTTCCTAATATCCAACCTAGACCTCCCCCACTGCAACTTGAGACCATTGCGCCTTGTTCTGTCATCTGCCACCACTGAGAACAGCCGAGCTCCATCCTCTTTGGAACCCCTCTTCAGTTAGTTGAAAGCAGCTATCAAATCCCCCCTCATTCTTCTCTTCTGGAGATTAAACAATCCCAGTTCCCTCAGCCTCTCCTCATAAGTCATGTGCTCCAGACCCCTAATCATTTTTGTTGCCCTCCGCTGGACTCTTTCCAATTTTTCCACATCCTTCTTGTAGTGTGGGGCCCAAAACTGGACACAGTACTCCAGATGAGGCCTCACCAATGTCGAATAAAGGGGAACGATCACGTTCCTCGATCTGCTGGCAATGCCCCTACTTATACAGCCCAAAATGCCTTTAGCCTTCTTGGCAACAAGAGCACACTGTTGACTCATATCCAGCTTCTTGTCCACTGTGACCCCTAGGTCCTTTTCTGCAGAACTGCTACCTAGCCATTCGGTCCCTAGTTTGTAGCAGTGCATGGGATTCTTCCGTCCTAAGTGCAGGACTCTGCACTTGTCCTTGTTGAACCTCATCAGTTTTTTTCTGGCCCAATCCTCTAATTTGACTAGGTCCCTCTGTATCCGATCCCTACCCTCTAGTGTATCTACCACGCCTCCCAGTTTAGTGTCATCTGCAAACTTGCTGAGAGTGCAGTCCACACCATCCTCCAGATCATTAATAAAGCTATTAAACAAAACCGGCCCCAGGACCGACCCTTGGGGCACTCCGCTTGAAACCGGCTGCCAACTAGACATGGAGCCATTGATCACTACCCGTTGAGCCCGACGATCTAGCCAGCTTTCTATCCACCTTACAGTCCATTCATCCAGCCCATACTTCTTTAACTTGGCAAGAATACTGTGGGAGACCGTATCAAAAGCTTTGCTAAAGTCAAGGAATAACACATCCACTGCTTTCCCCTCATCCACAAAGCCAGTTATCTCATCATAGAAGGCAATTAGGTTAGTCAGGCACGACTTCCCCTGGGTGAATCCATGCTGACTGTTCCTGATCACTTTCCTCTCCTCTAAGTGTTTCATAATTGATTCCTTGAGGACCTGCTCCATGATTTTTCCAGGAACTGAGGTGAGGCTGACTGGCCTGAGTTCCCCGGATCCTCCTCCTTCCCTTTTTTAAAGATGGGCACTACATTAGCCTTTTTCCAGTCATCTGGGACCTCCCCCGATCGCCATGAGTTTTCAAAAATAATGGCCAATGGCTCTGCAATCTCATCCGCCAACTCCTTTAGCACCCTCGGATGCAGTGCATCCGGCCCCATGGACTTGTGCACGTCCAGTTTTTCTAAATAGTCCCGAACCACTTCTTTCTCCACAGAGGGCTGGTCACCTTCTCCCCATACTGTGCTGCCCAGTGCAGCAGTCTGGGAGCTGACCTTGTTCGTGAAGACAGAGGCAAAAAAATCATTGAGTACATTAGCTTTTTCCACATCCTCTGTCACTAGGTTGCCTCCCTCATATAGTAAGGGGCCCACACTTTCCTTGAATTTCTTCTTGTTGCTAACATACCTGAAGAAACCCTTCTTGTTACTCTTAACATCTCTTGCTAGCTGCAACTCCAAGTGTGATTTGGCCTTCCTGATTTCACTCCTGCATGCCTGAGCAATATTTTTATACTCCTCCCTGGTCATTTGTCCAATCTTCCACTTCTTGTAAGCTTCTTTTTTGCGTTTAAGATCAGCAAGGATTTCACTGTTTAGCCAAGCTGGTCGCCTGCCATATTTACTATTCTTTCTACACATCGGGATGGTTTGTTCCTGCAACCGCAATAAGGATTCTTTAAAATACAGCCATAATGTTATGTTCTTCCATAATTTCCCTGTTGTTACACAAAGATTTCTGATTTCCTCACCATTATCTTTCCATTCAAAACTGAGCATAATTGTTATTTAAAAGACACACTGTTAACCTAAATGTGAGGTCTCAATTATTTATGTTAAAAAGGGGTGCATTTTTTCTGTCAATTCCCATATTAACAGAAATGTTTTAATGATTTCTTTTATTTTACATTTAAATTAGCAGCATTTTTTTGATTTTCCTGCTCTGTTTAAAACTGAAGCAAAATACTGGGTACTGGTGAATGAGAACCTGAAATGGAACTGACTAGTTTCATTGCCTAAGGTAAGTAAAATACAAAAAGTAAACAAAAAATAAATGTTGAAAATTAGAGTTGTAAAATACTTTCAATTTTAAGTGCTATTTTAAAATAGAAATTTTATTTTAAATATAAAAGTTGATATTGATAGTATCCCTTTAAAATTTCAGCCATATTAAGAGCCTAACTGATCTGCTTGCTACCTTGATCTGCAACAGTCCCATTTCCCCCCTCACTTTTTCAAATGTAATTCTAAAATCATTTCTTGTTTCTTATTTGTCCTGTTTTGTGTCTCACTTATACATCTGAATTCCCTGCTTTCCATCTCTCCTCTTTCCCATCTCCTATACAATACTTCTTTCAATAACCCTTTTTCAGACATCTTAAATGTTTCTTGTGTTCAAAGATACAAAATCCAAGGAAATGCTTTCACAAAGATTTTATTGGTATTACAAACACTGTGTCAGATTCTGATTTCTATGATGCCACTGTATATCCAGACTAACTCCAAATTTACGCTGGTGTAACTAAGTGGCCCATTAGTTCTACAGCATAACCCTAATTTTCGTCTACTACCATCATTGTAATATAATCTCTATAACGAACAGTATTTGTTTCAGGATCTACAGCAGCAGACAGCATCTCCTCCATTTCTTCCTGTGTAAAAGGTTCACCTGCAAGAGGACAGAAAAGTCAACAGTTTGTCCTGATACTATATGTTACTCAACCTTATCCAATAGACTTAGTGTTTGGGCTCTCCCTTGAAATCCTTTTGGTACTCAGACAAAAGACAGGCAGACCCAGGACCCACTTCTTTCACTTACACCAGTTACTTGCAGTATTGTTGTAGCTGTGTTGGTTCCAGGATATGAGACACAAGGTGGGTGAGATAATATCTTTTATTGGACCAATGTCGTTTGGTGGAAGAGACAAGCTTTCAGTTTTCACAGTGCTCTTCTTGAGGTCTGGAAAAGGTCACTTTGTGAAAAGTGTTTGCCCATGGGTGATAAAAATAATGATAAAAGACAAAACCACCTTATTTTATGTTTATCATTTTTCTAGGACTTCCCTTAATGGGGAGTGATTTCAAAACAAAAGCTCTAGTCAATCAGGATGAATTCTCTTATAGGCAGCATCTTTTTTCAGGAACATAGGAATGGCCATACTGGGTCAGACCAAAGGTCCATCTAGCCCAGTATCCTGTCTTCCGACAGTGGCCAATGCCAGGTGCCCCAGAGGGAATGAACAGAACAGGTAATCATCAAGTGATCCATCCCCTGTTGCCCATTCCCAGCTTCTGTCAAACAGAGGCTAGGGACACCATCCTTCCAGGAAACCTTCCACCATTTCACTAGCACCGGTGCGGCTAAACTGGGATAGTAATAGTGGGACTGTTAATGTAGACAGGGCACATTTTCACCATGGCTGTACCCTGTCTACACTTGTTCTCCCACTGTTGCTACCACTGGTGGAAGAGCGGCACTGAAATTAGTGAAATGGTGAGAGATTTCCTGAAAAACATTACCTTCTGATTGTCCAAGGAACCGTAGATCTTTCCTACATCGGCATAATACATTTTCCAACTAGTTACAGGTACTTTGGAGGAATGATTTTACTCCTTCTCCCTGCACAGGATGAGCGCCCCAGTGGTGAGCAGTGCACTGTATGCATTAAACTCCTTCCTCCAACCACAGCTACACTAGAAATGTTTAAAACTCTCTCATCTAAAACTACCATAGTTTGTTTTCCCCACATATTCAGTCATAGATTGATCTTAACACCAAAGGCAAATTAGGTTGTAGATGGAACGGTATTTTCTCTACTACTGTCCTGTTAGGGAATCTATCTTCTGTTTTCAGACATGCTGTAAGAGCTTGAGCTTTCAGTCACTCCACATGCTACCAGAAAGAGTTGTCAGTAACTGCAATTCTTCAACAGTGTTGTCTACATATTCACACTTGTGGGAGAGAAGCTCCTAGTGGAGCCTGAAGGGAAAAGTGAATTATCAGAAGACACTGCTCCCTCATCCCAAGAAATGTTCAGGTGTGCCTCAAATCCATCATGGATAGCATCAAGGCTAACTCAGGCAGCCCCAGAACTGAGACACTGAAAAAGACTCAGTTACATCCTCCAGATCTGATGTAGATCTCAATCTATTGGCTCCCTTCCATGAAGAAGGGACACTGTGAAAAATAGAGGCACACTGGCACAGATGAACCATCACTGTCTCCCAAGAGAGGGAGAGTCTGAAAGAGGAACCAACATTTCGAATCCACCCAGACAATTCCTAGATCCAGCGTGATATTTCCTCTTCCTTCTCTGTGGTGGCACCGAGTCCTTCTGTTTGGAGAACCTCTCTGAGCCCCCACACTTGAGGGCAAAGAAGAGCAGAATCTAGACCTTCGCAAATGTGAAACCCAACTGAAAACCAGGGTTGCCCAGCGGGTGGGGGGCAAGTGGGGCAATTTGCCCCAGGCCCCGGGCCCTACAGGGGCCCCACGAGCCCTGGCCGAGAATCCCTTCCATGGGTAGAGGCGCCTTTTTAATCTTTACTCACCCGGCAGCGCTCCGCGTCTTCGGCGGCGGTTCGGCGGCAGGCCCTTGACTCGCTCCAGGTCTTCGGCAGCGGGTCCCTTCACTCGCTCCGGGTCTTCGGCGGTGGGTCCTTCAGTGCCACCGAAGACCCGGAGCGAGTGAAGGGACCTGCCGCCGAAGTGCCGCTGAAGACTCGGACCATCACCCAGTGAGTACAAGCGCCGCAGCAGGTGGCGCCTTTTTTTATGCCCCAGGCCTCCTGAATCCTCTGGGCGGCCCTGCTGAAAACTCTCATCCAAAGAGAGGTCAGTACATTGGAGGCTCCTTCAGTGCTAAGAGAGACTCCAGAACTGAGGAAATTGCCCTGGCTGTACCATCTGGTTCTTGTCTGGGAGGAGCCACTGTCCAAGTTCACACCAGTAAGGATGTCTTGGCACTGAGAGACTTAGATGATAGAGCTGGCCTCCTAGATGATGGAGGATAGTGTTCCACTGAGCTGGTGCCAGAAAAAGGACAAACCGCAGCACCAAAGTCTTCTGTTTTCCTGCTGCAGGTGGCTTAAGAACTGATGAAGGGCTACTGTGTCCCTGCATGAGAATAGGGCCCTGAACCAAGGAAAGGCCTTGGAAAGTCAGGAGTGAAGTATGTTTGTCTTTTTGAAGTCAAGGCATAAAGAGCTGGTATGCCAAACAAGTCATACAATAAATACAAACACTTAAGGCAGCAGATATGTGCATCAACCTGTGGGAAGATGGAAGGGCATAAAATACACTGCTTAAATCTGGTCCTTTTGGGTTGGACATAATGCCCTTGAACCAGAAAAGAGATGGTCCTGCAAGAAAGATGTGCATTGGCACAGAAACTACCTAAGCAGTCTATAGTTCTAAACAACATATTAACAGAAGATCTTTGGTTAAAAAAAAAGTAGCTCCTCATACACAGAACATAGGTCCCTATATCTACAGGTAGCCATAGAAAGGAAAGAAATGAAGTGGTTGGAAACTGTACAACCTCTTATAAATTTGACTGACTATTTGATGCCACAAGATGGTGCTCATCTGGGCACTGATTTTCTAGAAAGTTCTGGAAGCTCAGTGGTATCAGGGTGCCTGTCACAAGTGGAAATATGCAGATGCCATCTCAAAGAACTGTTCATGATTATTATTAATGTAATTATTCATTTGTATTATTTTTCAAGTGCCAGAGGTATATATGACATGGTACAAACAGGTAAAGAGATAATAACATCCTTTCCCTGGAGAAGTTGCAACTGAAAGGTTTTGTTTGTTCTGCAGCGTTTACTCAAGTGAGTTTTCTTTTATTAAATATAAGTTTTATAAGTTAATTAGAAAAAATCTTTACCTTCTTCAGTCATATATTTGACTAACTCCTCTTTAGTAAGATGTCCGCATTTATTCGCATCTAAAACCTAAAGAATATAAATAGATAAAACCTTTTGGTTTTTAATCTTACGGAGTCAAGATTCAGTAACTATTTTCCCCTTAACTAGATGCTTTAAAATTGTGGTTACAGACCTCAAAGGCACGTAAAAGTACATCTTCTGGAATAGGCCGGTATCTGAAATCATTGAATTAGAACAATTAGTGCCACAACTTGGAGGGCTATGCAGTTTTGGAAGCAGGACCTCACAACAGTAACAAAACAATACACAATAAATCCTAAACACCAAAGAAAAAGGAAAACACTGAAATGAAAATTTACTTACAAACATACTTGCAGCTTGCAAGTTATGTGTGCTGCAAGAACATATATGCAAGGAAACAATGTAACCCAATCATGCAGAACTACCTGCCACTGAAGTCAGTTGGAGTTTTGTATGCAAGAGAACTTTGCAGCATTGGATATAAAACAATGGGGTTCACAAAACTTTTAAGTAAAGACACTGCCACCTTTTTTTAAGAATAAAAATAAGTTCATTACAGGTAATACTGTTACAATGAAGGACAAATGAAACACATCAAGGCCATCTGTAAATGAAAAGACCACTGCATGCCTCTGAATACTGTATATATAGCCTTCTAGTTCCAGAGCAGTTAACCTTTTAGACTGCTAATCATGTACATTTACTGTGCATGGCAGTTATTTTGTTAATACATTAAAATGAAGATGATTTATGTTATTAGAAACACACTTTGTCTACCCATAAATGAAACTCATGTTTGCAAAAACCTGATGATTAAAGACCTTTATTTTGATAAAATCTCTTTAGAGACACACAAAATCAGATTAATGGGAAGTTTATTTTGATTCACACTATAAAAGAGAAGCAACACACTATCATAATTCACAGTGACTATAAACTCTGTGATATTATTTATGTGGTTTTAGTGACTGTAAAACATATTTTTAGATTAAATCAGCTTAAACTAAAATGCTCATCACTATCAAACTCAGAGTTAAAAAAAAATTTACTTTTTCCAATTACATAAAGGCATATTTGATATCTTTGGTCAAAATCAACCACCCATGGATCTGAACCAAGCTACAACACAGAAAAAAAAAATATTTTTCCATTACCTTCTTTCCATTAATACTTTTGTCATCATTGGAAGAAATTTTTCCAAACGAATATACCCAGTAGGTTCCTCTTCTTCTACCTGATATTAAAACAGAAGGATAGTAAATTTAAATCTTAGATGACACATTAGAAAACTAAAAAGAGAACCAGAGAACCAGTTGGCTCCTGCATCAAAATAGTAGGGTTAGATTTTGACTAGTCCTAAAGATGCCAGGCAGGAAAGAAGTGGTTGGATCTATAAGACCTCACTCATTCCTGAGTGGTCATAAGCAAAGTGGGTGAGTAGGGGCAGAACCTGGCCAGACGTAGAGGAGATGTAAATTGCACTCCACTCCCATGTAGCAAGAGGGGAGCATGGGTGGAAGTAATCTGCACTTTCAGTCACCCCATATTGTAGAGCAAGAGGGGAACAGGGGACTCAATCACAATTCTTTTCCATGACTCCTTGTCAGGTGGCATGGCTACACCCCAGCCCATACGCAGGGCTGAGCATAAAGGCTCAATCTAGCCTATAATAAATAAATAGTAATGATACATTATATGTAGTAGTTAATTGATTATGCTAGGTGAATATTACTGGGTTTTGTTCTCAACAGTGTAAGGCAGAAAATCTAGTATCTAACTAAGGCCATGTTTACACTATGAACTAGGGGTATGATTCCGCTGCTCAAATTTTTGCTAGCTCTCATGGAGCTAGTGTGAGTATAAATAGCGGTGTAGCTGCGGTACCATGGAGCAGTGGCAGTGGAAGCACATCTTAGCTGTGCCAAATACATACCCACCAGTTTCAGGCAGGTTTGTACTCAGCATGGCTAAGCCGTGCCCTTCACTGCTACTGCCCATGCTACTGCAGCTACACTACTATTTATACCCCTGCTAGCTTGATGAGAGCTAGCCTGGGTATGTATAGACGAGCAGGGGAATCGTACCCTCTAGCTCATAATGTAGATGTAGCTCAAGAGTGTGTGCCAAAGAGTGTGCAATAATAGATTTTTCACTTTAATTTAACTTTTTCTAAACAATTTATGTACGTTTTTTATAACTCACTCATCATCACAGCATCTGAGTGAAATACTTGTGATCAAATAAAAAAATTAAAAAGAAGAGACTATATCCCCAGACAAGCTACAGGCCAGTTACAGTGGGAGCTTTGAACGACTCAATATTGTCCTCTAGTGGTTAGAAATTTGTGCAAAATACTCAGTATCCGATACTAAGTTATCGTACAAAGTGTTTTTAAAGATACAGTATACTCTCCCCCAAAGACTGAATGGTTGTTTCCAGATATTTTACAGCCACACAGTGCTGTCAAGGGGGAGGCCAAAGTGGCAGAGGCTCTCAGTTCCAGGGGGTCTAAAACAGACAAAAGGGTGGGAAAAATGACAAATACCATACATACAAAGAAAAGGCTTTTTTTGCCAACCAAGTATATTAATGAAAGATTTTCTACACACTGTAGAAAAGACTACAGGGACTTCTAGCAGGGATCTCACTGCATTCCTACACTTCCATAGGGGTCAAACAGCATGAACAAAAAGGGTTCCTAATTGTTCAGGAACATGCCTGTGTTGAAGACTTCAAGTTTCACTCCCAAAAGGAACACTCTGGGCTACATTGTGCCCACCTTTGTATGGGCACAGAACAATGGGGTTTAAACCAACCCCATATGGGGACAAGACACACTCTCAGTCCTTGCACTCTTAGCAGGCAAGAATGGAAGAAGTCTAGCACAGGCAGTGGTTCCAGATTCCTCAGGAAAGAATGGGGCAAGAAGGCTTCTGCTGTCCTTTTCTGCATGATCAGTGGAGTTGGGCCAGAGGAGGGGACATTACATGCAGCACCCAGTTAAAGCATGTAGCAATAGCTGCTGTGTGTACTCTCTCTGTACTCTGAGAGGCATTTTGGTTGCCTCAGGGGCAATGCTTCTAGCAGCAGCCACCAATGAATAGTCCATCTTCATCCCCCGCCCCTTCAGTGCAGACAGTGTCTTGAAGCTACAGTGTTGCCCTCTGTCTGCTGTGCCTTATAACAGAGAATCTTTTGCTAGAAAATGAAGCTGTTCTATACATGAATAAAACTGTCTTTGATCATTACAGGGTTGTTTATTTTAAAGCTGAATCCACTGCAAAGATGCAATAAAATGGATGGCAAAAATTAATTTCCCTCTCATGACATAACAGTTAGTCAATAAACTGAACTATTTCATGCTTCACAAATATTGAGACAATAACTGTAGTAAGGGTGTTTTATGAAGCACCTATGTTCCAACGGGCTGTAGGTCAGGAAACCAAAAAGACAGAAGTAGTAATGTGGTAACTATTTATAGGAACTATACAGAGACATCTTATATTATACATTAACTAAGGTCCCAAAGGGCACATAAAGATCATACTGCAAATAAATCATGTTTAAAAGCCAAAACCATTAGGCCTGATCCTGTCAGGGGCTGACCACTCTCAATTGCCATTTCTGTCAATGGGATTTGCAGCTGCTCATCACAGGGCTAAATGTGGTCCTAATTTTCAGACTGGGAAGAAAAAAACATTAGTAGCAAATAGCTGCTCCAGAATCCACAATGTAACAAAAACATGTATATGTGACTTACAAAATAAAGTATTAGATTTGTCTCTCTTAGTAGGTTTGCTGTTTGCATTTTATCCCAATAAAGCATTTCCTGGTAAAAGAAATTTTTCATCACTGATAATGGACCTGCTACTGTGAGGTGATGAGCAACCTCAACTCCTACTGACCTCAAAGCACCCACCAATTCATTTGCACTGTAGGCCCAGAGGTGTCTTGCGTTTTTCTCTACTCTAAAATGCAGAAAGACTGAAGATAGGTTCTTTCCCTAACATTGGACAGGTGGTAATGAGCGGCCAAATAAATGCTTTGCTTTAGGTCCTTCAAGTTTTGCAGATGTTTATCTTCATCTTATCCACCTTCATAGTCACTCCTATCTTAAAATTGCTTTTTCACTACAATTTCATCTTCTTGCCTGTATTTTTTGTTCTCTTTATGGAGGCTATGACAGTAATAGCTACTGCGGGGTGAAATATTTAAAGCATTATTATACTCATCTATCTACTCTAGGTACTTCTGTGATCTCCATTACCATAGTATCTGAACACTGCACAGTCTTGTGAGTATTATTACACTAACCCCCGCTGTGAGATAGGGCAGTACTATTTTCCCCATTTTACAGAGGGAAAACTAAGTGATTTGCTCAAAGTCACACAGAAAGTCTATGGTGAAAAAAGTTTGGACCCAAGGTCTCCAGAGTCCCAGGTCAGTGTCCATCTTTCCTCCATCCCCTTCCACTTCTATTTTGTAAATCTTGGACGAGGGTGGGGAGATTTTCTTTTATCAATAAACAACAATCCATGTGGTTATTATTTTTTTTTGTATTATTTATATTTTGGAACACAATTTCTCTTTCCTCAGACTGTCTTCTACTTCTTGGTTGAAGATAGGAGTTGGGGAACTCTGCTAATAAGGGGTGCAAAATCACAGGAGGCAGGCTGTAGCACGCAAGACAACTTTCTATTCTGCTGGTTCTTTGCACTTTCTCCTCATCTAAAGAGCGGAGGCAGCTGAGCCAGGGAGTGGAACCACTGCTATTTGAGACTCTGGGGGGGGGTGGAGTTGGCATACAGATAAGAGGCAGGGATAGCAAAACGTTTTGGGTGGGAGCCAGACTCCAGCATCATGACATGTGTGGGTGATATATATACCTCAGGCTACTTCCAAGGGAAGAAATCCTCCCAAATCAAGGGATCTTTCCTTCCCCCGAGGTAGCATTTCAGCCTGATATCACCTGCAAAGAGAAGAAGAGGAGGCTGTGGTGGGAAATATTATTTCTGCTGTTGTGTCCCACACTCTGGCTCCACCCTATGCATCATCACTGTGGTGACCCCAGCTTCCTACTAGGAAGTGAAAGTAGAGCAGGAACTGAGCGGACAAATTACAATCTAAAATCAGTGTTCAAATAAAAAATTAAAAAAACCATTGGACTGGTGTTTACCAGTAGAAGTTCCCTACTCCCTGCACTCAATTAAGGGAGTGGGAACTTGGACTTATAGGATGAAGTAAATGAGCAAGAAAAGATTACTGACTAGTTACTGTGCATCTTCAAGAGAAAGCTTTGGACATTCACACTCATAGGACTGGCGTTTCTAGACTGACCTTCTAGAAAGCCATGTCTGTTGGGGCTCCAAAAGCATCACCTCATGGCACTGAACATTCAGCACCAGGTTATATACAGAGCTGCAGCTTCCAACTATCTCAGTTTTTTGTTGTCTGCAGCAGAAAGCAAAGGAACTAAGTTGCTTGTTCAGACCATTGCATGAGAACTCAAAACCTCCTGTTTTGTAAATAGCTAGACTGTAGAGTATTACTCCCTTTAAACCTAAATTTAGACTTGTGGGATGCAATTTTTAGTTTCAAAATGTATTTGGACCAAATTATGCTTAGTTACACTAGTACAACTCCATTAATTTAGAAAAAAACAAACCCTTTTAAATGTTATATTTAAGAATAAAGATTGCATAGCAACTTCAGGAGAAGACAATCCCGGGAGAAAGGATGAAGACTCAAAGAGAATCAGGAAAAAAAGGGTTGGACTGAGGAGGTTGAACCATTTAATATTGGTAAAGGTACAGAAGTTCAATGTGCTGATACATTCTTAGCATCAGCATAATCAGATAAACTGGTTTAATAATCCTATTGTATCTAAATTTCATACTGTTCAAATAATTGTGACCTAGCATTACAGAAAAGGCAATACGATGTTTAAAATCCAAATAAAATAAACATTAAAGTTATTACAAACCCACAAAAAGGGGAAAATCACCATTAAGAGTACAATCATATGCTTAGATCACCCAATTATGTTGAACTGCAGAAACAAAGGAGGGCACACTGAAATAGACTAAATAATACATCAGACATGTGAAATATGTAGGAATCACGGAGGACAGATGAAGAATACATGGTAGGTCTTCCCTCATAAGCTTTTTGAGGTTAAAGTCACAACCTCAATGCAATTTCCTGAGTTAATTGGTATTACTTGTTCATTGTTTGGCCTGATTGTGTCAAGAAGTTAATACAGTTGGGGTTTGTGTAACCTGATCAATTTGGAACTCACTTTTTTATTTTTCCATCAGCAAAGGAATATTTTTTCTTGGTTCTTGACAAAGAACTTCCCCACCCTCCTGGCACTGGGTCACAGTAACCATCCTTGGCAGAAGACAGAAGGTACTTCCACATAGCACTTTGGAGCAAGACTCCCAGACCAGGTCGACAGACTTGAGGTTGTGGGGCTTGCACTTTAAAAATAGCTGCATAGGCAGCACTTTGAAGTTGGAGCTTGGACTCTGAAACCTACGGAGGTGGGTGGGCTTCAGACCCTGAGTTTCAGCTTAAGCTGTAACTTCAAAACGCTGTCTATACAGCTATTTTTAACGCACTGGTGTAAGCCCCGCTAGCTCATGTCTGTCAGCCAATGCACAGCCATACCTGGAAAGATTCCTCTTTGTATTCCATCAGTGTTGCTCACGTATCAGCCTTAGGGGTTGCTCAGGGCAATCTGAGGGACTCCCTTGCTAAGTGACCTGTCTCCATAACATTTCCAGCCTCTGGGAAACAAGCTCAGGTCTCCCACACAGCAAAGCAGAGATTAAAACTTTTGTAAATTGTAAGATTGAAGAAAAATTACAAAAGACAAACCGCTTACCTCTGCAAGCATATCATGTAATTCGCCCTCACTTGGGCAGCATCCTAATGACCTGATGATTGTACCAATCTCTCTGAAAAAGAAAACATTTTTGTCAGTAAATCTAGAGTACAAGAAAACCTATGGCAGCTATCTAGAGTACAAGAAAACCAGCTATCAATCCAGAGCAAGTGTTGGGGGAAATGGGGAGGGTGGTGGTTTATAGCGAGGCCTTAAAACTAAAATCCTATTTGTTTGTGTGGACATTAAAAATCTCATGGCACTTTTTGAAAGAGTATGGGTTTGCCCTGTGGCCTTAACCCAAAATCTCCTCTCCCCATGTTGCAGTGCAGTGTGTTGTATGCAGATTGCTTCCTGCCTGCAGTTCTCTTTCTCAGTATGGCTGGATTTCAGCAGGGTCTATATTTATACTGTATACCATAGTTAATAAAGCCCTTTGTGATCCATTGAGATGAAAAGTCCTGTATAAATGTAAAATGACATTAAAGTTATCCATAAAATATAAATGTTACTAGAGGTTGAAGGTGGGTGCAGCATTGCTGAGTGAGCTTCACCAAAGCTGAAAACACCACTACATGGTCAACATTACCAGCCTGGCTCTATGTTGCATGCACACATTAGTGGTTCAGGAATGGAAGAACATACTATCAAATCTAGTGCACTTGTTATGAAGTTCCAAATAAAATGTATGACCAAACTGGTGATGCCTCAAATAGAAACATAAATTAAATATCAAGAGATGCTATCTGACAAATTTAAAAGGGTGTCACAGTGTACATATGAATTCATCTGAAGTTTCTAGAGGTGAAAGATGGGCAAATTGATTTGAATTGATTAAAAAAAGACACAAACCACCTTAAACTTAATTTTTTTCCAATTTTGAAAAAACTGAATTTAAAAAAATATATCCACCCATCTTTGCACTTCCCAGTTGCATCTTAGGCCTTGTCTATATTAAAAATGCTTTGCCAGTATAGTGATACTGGTATCGCTATACTGACACAGAACCCCCCAGTGTAAGTGCTAACACAGGGTGTTTTTCTGTCAGCATATTAACACTTCCTCCCTGAACAACATTAGCTATACCGATAGAAGAGTGCCTTTGTTGGCATAACTGTGTCTATACTGGGGTTTTGGCTGGCAAATCTATGTCAACTGGGGGTGTGGTTTTTTCACACCTTGACTGACGTAGAAACTTTGTAGAGTAGACCTGGCCTAGGATCAGAAGAAAAAAGAAATACTGCAAAGAAAACTTCTCATGATATTTCTGGTGTGATGTAAACCAAGAAACACAGGAACTCTTGTGTGTTTCTTGAAATTTTTCCAGTCCAATTCCAGAGCAAAGAAGTTTAGATAATCTTGCATAAACATCCATGCTATAGGATGCTTAAACTTTTGAGGTTCATCCATCACTGCCAGTGCCTCTAACAGACAATTAGAGTTTTCTAGTGGAAGTTGTAGAGATGAAAATAAAACACTTACAAAACAATCACATTATTACAGTAACACCCAAAATGTGCTAGGCACTGTACAGATGTAGAGGAAGACAGTCCCTGATCTGAAGAGCTTACATTCAAATTGCACACATGATGAAAAGTAACAGCAGCAGCAGCAGATGGGAAATAGTAGAATGGGTGGACAAGGGTTGTAAAAATAAGGCCATGTAGGTTGTTTTAGGTGTCCAGGATTAAAAGAAGCTAAATGCCAGGTTCTAGTGGTGGCATAGGGTAGCTTTAAAGACCCCAGCTGAATCACTATCTTTCCCTGCCAGCCTCCCCCTCCCAGTTGGTGCACCATCCTTGGCTTCTGCCAGTGTAGTTTCTAGCACACAGAAGTGATGGTGAATCTAAGCATAATGCTCACCTACTTGATGAATCTGAGTTAGTGAATCATAGTTTAATGCTCATCTAGTTAATCTGAGTTTATACTGCAGGTGAAATATAATCCTAATGTCATATTTATCAAATGAAGTGTAATATTTTGCAGGACAAACTTTGCATAAATCACAAAAAAACCTCTTTGTAATTTATATTGTGAGGAGAAGAAGAGCAGAACATCTTCCAGTGCAAAGCTTGTTTCTTTTTAGTTTTGTAGGTGCATGCTTAAAGGTCAGGCAATATATTGGTATTGGCTTTCTGCAAATAGGTTAACATCTCTCCTTCTCTTCAAGGGTATCTGATGTTCCAAGAGATAATATTCATAATACTTCTATGACCATGGTTAAGAATTGTGCTGTACTGCCACCCTCTGACACAACATAATCACCTATTATTATTAATGTGATAAAACATTGAGATAAAAGAAATTGCATTTATGAATCAGGGAAGGGTGAGTGAAGAAATACTGTTAATGATTTTTATAAGGTAATAATTTTGACATGAAGTAGTGAGTTTGTTACATTTAGTTGACTTTCTAACCTCCCCTTTCATATCTTACGGTTTATCATCTCAAGAAAGAAACTGTCAAAGAAAAGTGTATTCACATCATTTCATTGTCCCAGCATTTCCCTCAAAATAAAATGAAGATTTTAGCAAACTTCATGGCTGGTAGCATGCTTTGACCACTGTCCATTGGTCATATACTGACCAACACTGTCTCATTGTTTCCTTGTACTCCCCCACCTGTCTGTATCTATCTGTTGTCTCGTCTTATACTTAGCTTGTAAGCAACTTGGGAGAGGGACTGGTATTTTATGTGTGCATGCACATGTGCAGTGCCTGTCACAATGGGGTCAGGGCTCCTAGGCACTACAGTAATACAAAAAAAAAAGCAGAATATACAGAAGCAAATAACAGCTAAAATGAGCTCCTAGTAGATAGAAATATCAAAAGGAAAAAGAAGACTAATTTAAAAGCTCTTTCCTAGCCAGGTCAGGAAAAACAGCAAGGTGTAAGCTGATTTCCTCATTGGTATTCAAAATGAAAGAGCACACTTTTCTCAAATACTTCTACAGAAGCATGAGTAGCTACAAAGGCTATGGCTACTCTACAGAACTTACAGCAGTGCAGCTGCATTGATGCAGCTGTAATGCTGCTAGTGCGGCCACTGTAACCCTACGGGAGCGAGCTCTCCCATCGACTTAATTACTCCAGCCGCTGTGAACTGCAGTAGCTATGTCAGTGGGAGGAGCTCTCCCACTGACATAGCGCTGTCCACATCGGCGCTTAGGTCAGTATAACTTATGTTGCTCTGGGGGTTGGTTTATTCACACCCCTGAACTACAAACATAACTTATACTGACGTAAGCTGTAGTGTAGACATAGCCTAAGTTGTGCATGGAGACATATCCTACAATTCTGCACATCCACTTCAACTGAAAAATTATTTCATTTGATGTCTGAGGAAAAGCCAGAATGTCCTAAACTTGGAGACCTTAGTAAATGTGCATTGCTGAAAAAGTACTGATTTAGGTCATCAGAATATTAAGAAATTCAATAACAAAGACTGTGCAGAAAATATAAATAGATGACTTAATTACTAACTCCCTCGCTCTAGATCAAAGAGTAATACTAATTAAAAACATTTTTAGAGGGTTATATCCAATAAATATATAATTTATAAATATATAAAGGAGATCCAGTGGATATAGTGTATTTAGATTTTCAGAAAGACTTTGACAAGGTCCCTCACCAAAAGCTCTTAAGCAAAATAAGCAGTCATGGGATAAGAGGGAAGGTTCTCTCATGGATTGGTAACTGGTTAAAAGATAGGAAACAAAGGGTAGGAATAAATGGTCAGTTTTCAGAATGGAGAGAGGTAAATAGTGGTGTCCCCCAGGGGTCTGTACTGGGCCCAGTCCTATTTAATATATTCATAAACGATCTGGAAAAAGGGGTAAACAGTGAGGTGGCAAAATTTGCAGACGATACAAAACTACTCAAGATAGTTAAGTCCCAGGCAGACTGCGAAGAGCTACAAAAGGATCTCACAAAACTGGGTGACCGGGCAACAAAATGGCAGATGAAATTTAATGTTGATAAATGCAAAGTAATGCACATTGGAAAACATAATCCTAACTATACATATATAATGATGGGGTCTAAATTAGCTGTTATCACTCAAGAAAGAGATCTTGAAGTCATTGTGGATAGTTCTCTAAAATCATCCACTCAATGTGCAGCGGCAGTCAAAAAAGCAAACAGAATGTTGGGAATCATCAAGAAAGGGATAGATAATAAGACAGAAAATATCATATTAATATATCTATATAAATCCATGGTATGCCCATATCTTGAATAATGCATGCAGATGTGGTAGCTCCATCTCAAAAAAGATATATTGGAATTGGAAAAGGTTCAGCAAAGGGCAACAAAAATGATTATGGGTATAGAATGGCTTCTGTCTGAGGAGAGATTAATAAGACTGGAACTTTTCAGCTTGGAAAAGAGGCAACTAAGGGGGGATATGATAGAGGTCTATAAAATCATGAGTGGTATAGAGAAAGTAAATAAGGAAGTGTTATTTACTTCTTCTCATAATACAAGAACAAGGGGCCACCAAATGAAATTAATAGGTAGCAGGTTTAAAACAAAAACAAGAAAGTATTTTTGCACTCAACGCACTGTCAGCCTCTGGAACTCCTTGCCAGAGGGTGTTATGAATACTATAACGGGGTTCAAAAAGGAGCTAGATAGATTCATGGAAGATAGGTCCATCAATGGCTATTAGCCAGGATGGGCAGGAATGGTGTCCCTAGCCTCTGTTTGCCAGAAGCTGGGATTGGGTGACAGGGCATGTATCACTTGATGATAACCTGTCTGTTAATTCCCTTTGGGGCACCTGCCATTGGCCACTGTCAGAAGACAGGATACTGGGCTTGATGGACCTTTGATCTGACCCAGTATAGCCGTTCTTATGTTCTTATAAATATTGGGTAAATGCATGGGAAAAAAAATCCACAATCACTTTCATTATTGCCCCTGACCCTACAAATATGCTTAAAGTATGTGGTATGTGAAAGTAATGGAAAATACTCACTTAAAGATAAGCATGTATGAAAGTGTTTCAAAATCAGGGCATGTTTCTTTCAAAATAAAGTATTAAAACAGACACCCTTGGATTCATATTATTTTC